CCCCCACGTCTCTCCTCTTCTTCTCTCTTACAATGCACATAGATACCGTGGGACATACTCTCACAAGACACCTGTTCAAGACAACCACACGTGCAAATAATCACTTCCCCTCCCCAATGATATAATTACACTCTCCAAGAGGACCACCTGTCTGAGATAACCACTTTTCTTTTCGATAACAAGTGGCCGTTTTAGACAGGTTCGACTGTATTCCCCTAAACCCTCTAACACTGTACTCTGCCTCTGTGTTTCCCACTCAGCTTCAAGCCAGCGAAGACTTCCAAGAAAGGCGGCGAATCCGCGCACGTATGAGGGACCTCAAGCAGAGCATGAAAAACTTGAGCACAGGTCAGTGAAGAATTAGTAGCCATTGCTTTATGTACTTGCGATTCGCTCCTCACTTTTCGGTTGTTGTTTTTTTCTTTGGCTGTGTGTTTGTCTGTGCGTGTCTCTATGTGTCTGTGTTTATGTCTGTGTGTGTGTGTCTGTGTGTCTTTGTGCGTCTGTCTGTGTGTGTCTGTGTGTCTGTGTGTCTGTCTGTTTGTTAGTCTGTCCTTAATGACCATACTGCGGTTGTTCACACAATCCTTCTTTCTTGATTGTCAAGTATTTGTTTCAGCTGGGTAAACTCAGGGAGAAAAAATATATCTTCCCAAAAGACACCGCATAACGATCGTGAGTCTAACGTCTTACCAGTGGATAAGGACGGCTCTATTGTACTTTCCTAAAGTGAAAGTTTTCTAAAAAAAAAAGAAAAAAGAATCGATTCCCATCCGTCTTCCGCCCAAGAAAGAAGAAAAATCCACTAAGCCACCAACAAACAAACCAAAAGAAATACACCTTACAGCAAAAATTTCCCCGTAAATAAGGCCCTTTCACCCTCCTCTCCTTTTTTTTCTCTTTTGGGTAAGTGTTTTATGACGGGCGCTCGCAACTGCATAAGGTCAAATTTCCTATCAACTGAAAATGTTTTGTGTGTCCTGCGCGTTCATATGACCTTATGCAGTTGTGAACGCCATAAAACATTTACC